TGTTCAGCTCACCATTGATATTGGTATAGAGTCACACCAAAACGAAGTTTTGAAGCATACGAGCGGTAGAAGATCATTGTGGTTTTGTACCCATATATTCGTTTGTTGCAGTAGCAGCACCAGTTGTTGTTGTCAACTTTTTCTTTTTGTTCATGATGTGTGTTGTGTGTTATCAATGGAAAAAATAAAATAAACTGACTTGGATCTATATAGTATGCTAGACTTTTTGTATAGATGCATGTATTTATCTTTGATTGTTGTTGCCATTGGAGTTCTGCTGAGTATCTTTTCATTTAGGTATTTTCATTCTTCTTTTGTCTGTTGTTATCTATAGTGTTGGTAGAAAAAGAAAGAAAGGAAATCCACTATAACATAATTTTATATAATGTGTCGAATTTCACTCGTTTTTTATAGTCCGCATGCTTTTCCTTTTTTTTATCCTTATGTTGTCGAGAGTGTGAATCTTGAAGAATATGGATGTTGATGGGTGAAGTAGGTGAAGAGAACTCACTCATTCACGCACACCTACATCCACACCCTTTTTTATCCACGTTCCTTTATTTCAATATTACTTCGTTTGTTATGAATGAATTTGTTAAGATAGGTGAACATCATTCCATTCGTGAGTTATTATTCTAGACTATAATGAACTGAATATCATAAGACCATGCTTTTGATCTTTGTTATCATAAAATGAAGAAGTTTTTGCATGCTAAAGCAATGACTCATCATTGGAAACTGTTATATACCCAGGCTGAACTCATTCGGTTGGATACTATCGAATTCTCAAACTATTCGATAGTCGGCATCCAGTAGAAATCAACTATCGGAAATTATCACTATCTTTAATTTCTGACGACTTTCGACTATTGGATTTAGTCAGACTTCGACAGTAGGAACTTGACAGATTTCACGAAATCCAATGGTATTAACCTATCTCGTTTTGCTTATTATAGGTATCAGACAACATTATAAATACATTTTCGATACTTTTTATAACATAGTGAAGTCTCTTTCTCCAAGTCGATAAATCAAACGTGAGACTTTATAAGATTAGATAAAATCATACAAAAAAAAACATCGTAGTCTCAGGAATTTTGCACTAAATCGTACTATAAGGTTCTTTAACAGGTCTTACGGTCACATAAGACTTGCCATAATCATATAGTGATATCTTACAAGACAGAAGGATCTCTCAAGATTTTTATAATACGGCTTAGCGTAAGATTTCTAACGAGGGAAGGTCTCCAAATGATTCATTGCTTTTAAGTCAGGACTATGTGCAATATGTAGGCCATAATGAGTTATGAATATCTTGAAAAGAGTTCGAGTCCATAGCTTATTGCTGTCGAAATACTGCATTTATAAGTATAATGTCGTGGTCCCCTTTAGAAACATCAGAAAAAAACTGATTTTGAAATTTTGACTTGAAACTTTGTATAGTGGCATACCTCAATGAGGATAATTTATTGTCAAAATTGCAGATCTCTTGGTTGTTCCTATCCCAGAATACAGTTATCGTAAATGCATACTTGCACATCGTTCATGCACACTACTAAATTCCAAGATTCATATTTCAGAATAGGAGCAATCAGAAGATCTGAAACTTTAACAATAAACTATTCTCATTGAGGTCTGTCACTATATAAAATATCAAGTCGAAATTTCAAAATCAGTTTTTTTTTCTGATGTTTCTGAGGAGACCCATAGCATTATGCTAAAAAAACTGTAAAAATGCAGTATCTTGACAGCATGAGCTATGGGTCTGAACTCTTTTCAGGGTATTCATAATTCATTCTGGCCTACATCATGCACATAGCCCCGACTTAAAAGTGATGGATCACTAGAAAATCTTCCCTCAAGAAGTGAAGACCTTTTGTACGATTTTCGTTTGATTGTTTGATCTGAATGTTCTCAGACAAACGAAACATATCTAATCTGAAAAAATGAAAAAGACTGAGTTTCATTTAAGTGGATTAGCACGTGATTAGAATGATGTGACAGTATCAATGATATGTTAGACTAGTTGAATTAGATGGGTGTTATTAAATGCAAAAAGATACGACCATTTTCCATAATATCAATCGAGTCTTAAAGATAAATTGTTTTCATCATGTTCAATTTTTATTTATTTCATGTTGTTGTTTTATAGAATTATCATTCGGGTTAAAAGATATTCGTAAATCCAACTAAAATAGTATTATTCATTTTATATATTTTATTTCATGTCCTTTCAGTGATATGCTAATATGTTATTGATGTTTTTTTAATTATTTTTATTTTTCAACTCTTGAATATAAGATTAAAGCAAAATAAATATTTTTGTGTTTAGTAATTTTTGTACGATTTTATTATTGAACATATCAAGCTAACAATTAGTGCAGATAAATTAGGTTTTTTTTCTTTAAACTTTATTTAGATTTATTATGGAAGGTTTGATTTTAATGATGAATTCCAAATGTTGTCATTTTTCATATTTTCTATTGGCATGTGTCATTCAAAAAATCAGATTTTGTGAAAAGTTTAAATTGTTTTTTTTTTCTATTTAAGAATTTGACATTTTCAGTTAAGAATGAATAGAAAATTAAATTAAATTAAAATTTATTGAGCAAAATTTGAACATAATAGTAAGTTAAATGAGGCATTATTTTGTTTTTTCTTCTTTATTTAGATTCATAATTGGCGAGGTGCATATGTAGGTAAATCAGAATATATATTTTATTTATTTTGTACTATGTATTCTGATTAATCGTTTAAAATATCAATATAACTGCAATTTTAGAAAGACGTACTTATCTATTTTTATCATTTACACTTATCATTCAATAATTGAATGTACTAATCAGTAAAATAGGATACATTTGAGTTGTTAATTTGAAGTTAATTGTAGATAAGGGAGGAAATAGGAGTCGGTAATAGGAAAGAAGGAGGAACGAACAACATCTAATGTCTTCCTGTATGTTCAGCATATGAGTCCATTGAATCCTATGAGATCCAAAGCATATCCGACATTTCCCAGACATTGGATCCAACTGTCGGAAATCATCAGATCCGATATCCGACAACTTCATATCGGAATTCAATATAAAAAATCTAACAATATCCATCAGAATCCTTTTAGAAGGTGTCAGAAGTTATCGGATTATATGGGTTCTCCTATAGAATTCGAGTCTAAGACACTTCATCGTAGGTTATCTGAAACTTCATTTTTTCTGTTAGTAATAGCTCGAAAATTAATTTATGGAAGTTATTTAATAAAATGGATAATACAAATTAAGAAACTCAACACTTTTTAAGGACTTAAGTAATCTAAGCAATTAATAAATAAAGAAATTTTTAGCTTTGCTAATCATACTGATATACGTGTTACATTCATCAACCATTTATGAATCCAATTGTTTGTAATTGTATGAGTAATGAAAACTTTCTTTTGTTATTGAAATAGAAATATTGTATGCTCGAAGTAATAGTATAGTGAAGGAAGACATTAACTCGATGATAAATATGTTGCTCGACTTCTAATGTAATAAGGGTTACAAAAACAAATATACATGAAATGCATCATTTCCTTTTTTACCTCCCGATGATCGCTACAGGGTTCATTCAATAGTTCAACATCTCTTATCTACCAAGCTAGTGAGAAATTTCTGTAATAAGTTTAATTGGCTATGACATATTGTCGTCAATACCTATCACACAACATGTCTCCAGAGATGTATTTTGCGTGCAAGTAGAAGAGACTTTGAAGGACAATTTTATTTTTCTGACCTTATCAATTTTGTAGGTCATGCTTTTCGAAGACAAGATAATAAGACAAAATAATATTTCTCCAGAAATTCATAGTTTGTAAAGCTCTCTACAACTGAGATTGAATCGATTGTGAATCATATGGCTCGAGTTGTTGCAATAGTGTTGCTGCCAATGTTCATGCCAGTTGGCATTCATGGCAAAAGAATTAAAATTAATCAAAATTCAAGCTATATCAGTACTCGATTGCGACATAGAATAAAAGCCGATAAACTTGATACTTAGTCATATCATAAACTAAAACATTTGTTACAGATGTCAATAAAACATTTTTCTTTGTAGATTGTCAAGTAATAACGTTATAAAATCTAATCAAATGTGACCTTCAAGGTGTTAATTAAGAAAAAAAAAAACAACAAAAATTTATCAATTCGTTTGGATTGAAAATATATCAAACACTTGAAAATTTCATTATAGAAAAAAAAAAGTATGCAATTAAAACTTTAAATATAATAAATCATAATTGATTAAATTTAATAAATCTTATTTAAATTAAAATAAATCATCATAAAGATACAAATTCAAATTATAGTTTACAGGAAGCTGAAGTCTTTTCATTTTTGTCAAATAATAATAATAATATGAAAGAAATTGATATTTACTACTGCTTATGTTTATTATGATGAGAATAAATATGAAAAGTTATCACAATATAAAACTCAACATTAAAACTATAGTTATTATTTCAATAATGAAACAGATTAAATTATATTCTTAACATCATTTTTTTACAGTTATGATAACTAATGAACTTCAAAAATAAACTTGATACATATCTCACTGTCATAAGTTTCGTTTTTTTGATTGAACATTGCCATGGTTATACCAAACAGTTATTACGAAGGCAACAGAAAATATCTTTTGCATGAGAGAAATGTTTTTTTTTTTGAAGTATTCATTTTATCAAAATTTTAGTTCAAATAAATTATGAACAGTTCTTCTTGTTCGTATATATTTCAAGTTCATCAACAACTTCTTTCATTTGTCCCTGCGGTATATGAAAGCAATCAAATATATGTTTTAGGATTAGATGTATAACATTGTACGATTATAATAATAGAATAAAAAAAAAGTACTTGAACGTCAAATGCAAATAATATTAAAAGAAAACATAGGTGAAATAATCACTATTCTGAGAGTACTCAAATAGTTTCTATTCATTGATGTTGAATGAACAAGTTCAATTGTTGGTTTTATTCGTTGCTGGTGATGACAGTCGATGGAATTTCATATTGTTTCATTGGTTGTTGTGTACCATATCTTTAAAAATTAAAACAAAAAAATAAATGAAAAATTTCTCAGAGAAATACAAATCTATACGTGTAGTTAATAAATCTTGCTAATTGTACTAATTGAGCACATTCATTAGCAAAATGACAAGCAAACAAAAGTCGATTTTTTGGTTTCACTTGAAGAGCAAAACGCATAAATAACATTGAATAAAAGCATAATGCTAAAAAAAAATAAAACGATTATATTTACAACGATGATTTAATAATTTATTTACCAACGGTCATTTTTGGACTAATAATTTCTGGATCTTTCTTTAAATCAGCAATAGCTGCCAATGGTAAACCCCAATTAGCAACTAGAAATTAAAAATAAATCTATTTTCAATTGTTTATAATTATTTCAAATAGTTTTACCTGGTCCCCAGAAATGCTAATCGTATCGACAAGAAAAAAGACAAATTAATTCATTTTCTATTTTTTTAAATGTTTTTTTTTTTCTTACCGTGCTAAAAATTTAAAAAATTCATATTACAAGATTCTTTTCTCTATTTGCAGATGTTTATAATTTTTACCTCATTAAATAATCACGCATTTCCTTGCTTTTCAATTGTGCTAAACCACGACTTACTAATGATGCCATTCTTGGCAATTATTTTTTTCAACACAAATTATAAGATCAGATTTAGTAATCAGTGTTTCTAATGGAATTCTAAAACAAAATGTACAGTACACGCTGTTTTGAATAAGTAAAGTGTCCACAAAATGTACACAACCATTTCCATTACCGAAGTGAAGTGAAAGAGCAAAAAAAAGAAAAAGTTGTAGTAAAAACTGAGATATATTATAAAATTTTCCAGAAAAGTGTACACGCTGCTTTTTTAAGTGAAGTGTACAGCAGCGTGTATTTTTATAGCTGCGGATGTTTGTACATTTTGCTTCTGCAGTGTACACTTGCCATTAGAAACACTGTTAGTAATATTAGTGAATGTGAATAGAAAGTGAACATTCCGATTTGTTAGGGTTGATAACCATATGGAAAACAATGATTTAAGTAATAGCGACATCTCTTGATTTATTTTATGAAATAATAATAAATGTTAAAAATAAAACTTTTTGATTTTAAAATATTTATGTAATTAATTAATTAGATTCTAAAATAAATCATTTTACCAATCAATACTTATCGATCACCTTCGTATTTCCTTTCTCTCTCTCTCTCTCTCTTTCTGTTCATCTTCTTATTGCTTAGTCACATAAATTTTCTTGCCTATTTAATACTTTCCGTCTTTTTCTCAATGGTATGATCGCGTTCAAAGTAATTCTTGTTTTTTTTTGTATTTATTTCTCCAAGAAGATAGTTAATTTTCAGTATCTATTAGATTAGAAAAATGTTTTCTGGATATATATCTATATATATGTAGTTTTTTTCTTTTTTACTTGAATAAATAAATACAACACAAAAAAGATATGGTAGAATGGGTTAATGAATTGCATGCTACTCTCTTTGAAATCCCTTGTGTATTTAACATATGAAGTTTTCATTTGTTCGAGCATGTGTAAAAGATTGAGTAGTAACTCTTTCATCAACATAAGACACATACATACAAAGAGCGAGAGAGAAGGAAAGCCAACATTCATTTCGTTATACGCATATACGAGTTCAAGATCACTTGCTTTTTTTCGTAAACGTTTAACAATATATGCATATAGTCATAGTGTACCTTACATACCAAACAAGAGAGACTGTTCATTCTCTTTTGTCTCTCTTTTTTCTCTTATACTAGCAATAGAGATGAACTCCAAGCACTCATTCGTTTGCGCATACTTCAATTCATTCTTTCTTTTCGTGTATGCACGCATATTGAGTTCTAACATTACGTTGTTATTGAGATGGCGGCGGCGGCGGCGGCGTCGGCGGCGAAGTAGTAGTTATTGATAATACATTGATTGACCTGAATCGATCGAACAGAAGAAAACGAACAAAAAACAATAATAATCATGTATAGGTACTATTTTTCCTCGATTTGCTGATGAAGATTATTTTTTTGCTCTTGCCATGATCAATTATGAAATTTTCCTTGTTTTTTCTTTTTTTTTTTTTTTTTTTCTATGCTCCTTCACATGAGACGGAAATAGAATATAAATATAGTATAGGCAATTTCTCGTTTAGGAAAATAAAAAAACATATTAAATGTATTTTATGCAATGTCACAAACGGAAGAGAAGTGAAATATGACAAAAAGAAAATGTGAGAGTAGACGAGAAGATTACAACCACGTATCTCTAATGTTATATTTTATTGATTGATCGAGTTAACAAGTGAATCCGATACAATCGATGTCTACTATCAGTAGACCATGTAATATGCATTCATTTTTCTGTCTTATTTGACGTTCATTTTTATTCGTTTTCTATTTTTTTGTTTCTGTATTATACGTTCATTCATCTCTATTCTAACTGTCAAGGACTTAGTTGCAAGCATGGCTGTTGTTGTCATCTTTCTGTGTATGATCTACTTTATCCAACCGAAGAGCAGCAAATAAATTGTAAGTCCTTATCTTGCTCTTCTTCTTTTTTTCTTCTTTCTTTTTTACCGAAAATATAGAACCGGAAAAAAAGAAGAACTGGAAAAAAAAAAGAGAAGAATTTAGATAAGAGAAGCTTGATCGAAAATATGAGGCATAAGAGAAAGATATACAAAAATAAGTAATACGGTTCATTTAAGTCGAATCGAGTCGACAAGTAGTGTTAATAAAATAACATGACTTCAGAAAAAAAAGAACCTTTCTTCTTTGCTTCTTTTTTTTTCCTTTCTCTTATATCTGTTTTGCGAGCATAACAAAAGTTCTCACGCATTATTATTTTCTCTCGTTCTTCGTCAAAAATAAGAGCAAAGAGATCGTCACTACGTCCGTTCGTTCTTCGTAATTGAATGAACGGCATATGTAGTGCTAGCGCGATGATGCTGTGTATGTCTCACAGCTATTCTTCTTTCTTTTCTTGTCTTCGATTATACGTCACAATGATAAAAGTGTTTATGTGTTGTTGTGAACGTGATGGTGACGTTCCATGTATCAACATTTACTAACGGATTAAATGATGATTTAACTTTATTTTATTTTATTTCATCGTTGCTTTTTTTTTTTTTATCTTTCAATGTTTATTCAAGAAACCAACGTATGGATATGTGATATCTTTAATCATACTAATGTAGATCATTGGCTTTTTTTTTTCTTATGTCTGTAAATTAGTGATAAACTTACATGTATTTCAGATTGTTTCTTTTCTTTATTTTATTCTTTTATCCATCCATAAATCCATCATGGATACAGGAAACATTGATAAAACTAATGCTGAAAATGATCTTTATTTACCACAAACTGATTCATTTTGGGAAGTATGTATTTAACATTAAATAAAAACAAGATTTATTTTTTTCTAATCTTTTATTTTTAATAGATTGGTAAATATAATCGCGTAGTAAAACGATGCGATGATGGTAATAAATTAACAGCTGATCTTGTTGGTATGATTAGTGAAAGAGCTGAACTTGAAAAAACATTTTCAAAAATGCTTAAAAGTTGGTCAAAAAAATGGTCAGATTATGTTGCAAAATGTATGAAGCAAAAGAATTGTTTTATTCTACTTAAGGAATTAATTTTTTTTTTCTTTCTGATTTTAAGCATCAGAATTCGGTTCAATGACAACAGCTTGGAAAGCAATAATGGGTGAAGCTGATGCATCAGCTGAAGTTCATCAAACAGTACATGATGAATTACAAAATGATGTAATACCAGCAATAAAATCATGGCAAAAAACAAAATATGTTAAATCAATGATGCATGTTAAGCCAACAAAAGATTTTGATGAAGAATTTAAACGAGTTTGTTTTTTTTCCTACTTAAAAACAAAAAAAGTAAATAAAATATTTTATTAATGTTTTTAGGCACAAAAACCATGGGCTAAATTATATGTTAAAGTTGATAAATATAAACGTGATTATCATACAGCAACGAAAAATCTTAAAATGGCTGAAACACAAGAAAATAATTCAAAACTTGATGGAACTGTACCATTAGATCAAGTAAATCAAATTTTATTTATATATTTTCTTGTTGTATTTGATTTCAATTAATGAAAATTATTCATTTAGCGTGCTAAAGTTACAGAAAAACTTGAAAGAAGTCGTAAGGAAAAAGAAACAGCTAAAAGTAAATATAATGAAGCTCTTCAAGAACTTAATCGAGCTAATCCAAAATATATGGATGATATGAACGATGTATGTTATTGAATATGATTAATAAAAAAAAAAAAAGAAATTATTATTCATTAATATTTAATTTCTTCAAGGTTTTTTCCCGGTGTCAAGTTTTTGAACGAGATCGTCTTGTTAAATTTCGAGAATTTTTAGGTACAACTGAAAAATGTCTTGATCTAAGCAATCGATTACAGTAAGTTGAAATATTTCTCAAGAGATTTTATTTTGCTCTAATGATTCGATGTTTTTTTTTTTTTTTTTTTTTTCTATAGAAAATTAATTTGCTTTTTGAATATTATTAAATTTATAATTTTCGAAATTTTTGTTTCTTTAGATCATCAAATTTTCAACAATTTAATCAGACAATTAAAGGTTGCGATGCTGATAAAGATTTATCATGGTGGTCGGATACATATGGTGCCGGTATGAAAATGAATTGGCCTACATTTGAGGTATTTTAAGTTTATTTATTCTTTTCTTTTTTTTGTCTTTCCTCGATATCAATAATGCTTCTATCTTAACTTCATTCATTTCTATTCTCTGATTAAAAAAAAAAAAAGAAAAGAACCTTGTTAATCTTGCTTCTACTTTTCGATGATCACCCGTTACTGCTACTCCTCCTTAGGAATCAACAAATCTAGTTCATCATCAACAACAAAATCGTTTTTCTTATTGTGCTAATGATTTATTGATGGGTTATGATACATATAATCGCCGACAATTAGCACATTTTGTTAGTCAAACAAGTACTGCTGTTGCATATGATACACGAGTATTGGTTGTCGATTCTTATGCAACTATTCGTCGATCGATGCGACGAACAGCTGCTGTTGTTACACGCGTTCGTCGAGATCTCGTCAAGCGTGAAGTAGATTATCACATATTTACAATTAGGCTTCCACTAATAGATAAAAAAACTTATATTGGTTTCTTTGCGTATTATGTTTTTTTTTGCTGCACATTTACTGACAATATATATATGTTTTTTTCGTTTTCTACTTTGGGTATCGATAGATTTATATAATATATTTATTCTTTATTTATCTTATTTTGCTTTATATAGTTTATTTTCTCTTTCGGTTTTTTTTGCTAACTAATATTGACGTTAAAATTTATATACATAGAATTTTCCTTTTTTTTTTTTGTTTTAAATTTATAATCATTGACATCTATGTATACATTGGATTGTTTTAGGAATATACGGAAGCCCATCGTACACTCTCGCGTCGTGCTAAAGGTGAAATTGAAAAAGAAAATCCAGTAGTTGTTACGGCTATTCGATCAAATGCTAATACATCATCAGGTGCTGCACCTGCCGATAGTCGATTATCAACAAAGTAAGAAAATTTTTTGTTGTTGTATAATTCTATAAGAGAAAAAAAAAATCGACGTTCAATATCACTTTATGGTTTTGTTTTATCGAAATTTTTAAAATCATATATTTTCTTCATATCTATCAGTAATGCTGCATTCAATGAAGAGACTGATTCAGCATCGGCTTCACCCTATATGGGTAGTTATCATCAACAGACTTCAGCTCCAGCTGATGTATCACCCGGTTGGATAGCTAATTCTTGGACAAATGAGTAGGTTTTCATTATCATAATTATTAATTTATATTCAATTTGTCTTGTTCGTCAGCATTATTTTCATTTTGCTTATTTCGTTTATTGTCTAGTAAATATTAAATTATCAGTTGTATATTGTATAGATTTAATTGTTTATCCTGTGTTAAATATCAATCGTACGAAGTAAAAAAAACAAAAAACTCTTTTCGATAAGAATGATTATCATAAAACAAAAAAAAGTCGACAAATATTACAAAGAAATAATCGGTAGAGAGAATAAACGAAAAAAAAAAGCTAAAGCTATGCTAGCTATATTTACTTGCTTTGTATTTCTTGACAAAAAAAGATATATTTCCACTTATTTTTTTTTCTCTCTTAATCTCATTTATCACTAACAAATGCAATTCATGTTTTATTAAACAGCAATGGGAATATGTTCATCCAATCAATTCTAAGCTAAGCTTTTACACTTTTTTTTTTGCACTGCAATATATCTGAAAAAACCAATTTATTCCTATATGGTAATTGTTGTGATGATATGCATGTAATTGTTCTATGCTTCTTAAATTAATTTTCTTAAATAGAATATACATTTATAATTTGAAATATTTATGATTTTTAGTTATGGAACAGGAACAAGTAATGGTGGTCATTCATCGTTACCAGCATATCAAACAAATAATACTTCATCATATCAATCATCATTTCCACCAGCAGGTAATCCATTTTATGAAGATGATGATATGAATAATGGTGATTCATTATCATCATCTCATCAACCTTCACATCAATCACCAACATCAGCAGGTGGTTCATCACTTGATAGTAGTGCCGGTGTACCTGTAAGAGCTCTTTATGATTATGAAGCACAAGAAGAAGATGAACTATCATTTAAACAAGGTTAATTTATATATATATATTCTAATTGTTATGTATATATTCCTTTTTTTTCTTTCTCTAGGTGATATATTTACAAAATTAGAAGATGAAGATGATCAAGGTTGGTGTAAAGGACGTGCTGGAAATCGAATAGGCCTTTATCCGGCTACTTATGTCGAAGCTCTGTAAAGACAAAATGATTTCATATGATTATTCTTTCTTTTGCGTTTTTATTTTTATTTTTATTTCTTTTGTCGTCGTATGGATTTCTTTGTCTCCCAAATGCGCACACTTTGTCCATTTGAACAGTAGTAGTACCCATATACGAACACGTTCCTTTATATATACATGTGTGTATCTTGAACATATTTCTTGTTGTGTTTCTTTGTGTATGTGTGTGTGCCTTTCTTTCATTCCATTTGTGTATTTTCAGTTTTTTTCTAATTAACATCGAAAAAAAAATCATTGTCTGTACAAAAGGAAACTCTCTTTTTTTTTTTCTCTTCGTTATCTTCTTTTTATTTATTGTTATAAAACATTGTATAGATGCATTTTCTCCTCTTCTTATTTGTCGTCATTGACTAGTACATATTATCTCAGCCTTCTTCCTTAAAACTATTACATTTCTTTGTTAAATCTCATGTTTGTCTTTGCTCTTACGCACATCAGCTTATTTTGCTTGTACTCTTTAGTTCATGCCGTTCAAACACTCTTATCATTCTTTTTTGCGTATTTAAAAAACAAGAGCTAAACAAATATAAATACTTATATGTAGTTCATAATTGATTAGCTATTAACAAGGTATTGAAAGGAAAAGATATAAGAATTAAATGATTAATTGCAAGATGATTAAATTTATTACAAATATGTCAACTTGAAAACATAGTTGAAGCATATATATGAGAATTCTTCTTTTTTTTTTGTGTTTTGAAGATTTTCATTCGCTGTATATAGTTGACGTAAATTATAGGACATTTTGCTTCGTTTCTTTTTTTTTCTTTTTATTGTACTGCTATGTCATAAATCTTAACCTGTTGAACTCAAGTTAGTCTGAGAACTTTATTGATATTAATATTTTTTTATGATATGGATGATACCTCGATGTGTCACATACTATTTTTGTCTAGGGCAATCATCATTAACATGACTGATAATGTACATTACTAAACATAATCTTATTGTGAAAAATTAATTAATATGGTTTGCATATTTAAAGATATTGTCTGACGTATATATTTATAAGTTCTTGTATTGTTTTCAATTAAATGTAAGTTTATTGTTAAGGGAACTACCTGTACTTACAAAAAGTTCATGTTTGTCAAAAAAATGCTTTGTAAGATAAACATAAAAAAATGTGCCTTAAGGTGGCTATTTTAAATATTGAGAAAAAAAAGCTTTTTATTTTGAACACGTTTCGAAGAGATGTACTTAAAGTTTTTGAAGCTTTCTATCATAATATATTTTAGCGAACATAACTAAAAGCAAAGAAAAATTGTAAACAATTTCCCTTTCTATTAACTGTATGTGTCACTATGAGTACAGTCTTTAGGATTTTGATTAATTATAGAAATTGAGGTATGATATCGTTATATATTATGTTAATGTTCAGAAATACGTAGACAAAAATGCAGAAAGATAGTTTTTGAGATTTTCTGAAAATTGAGCTGTGTCAGCAATTGATGTTCGCGCATATTCTCTTTTAAGATAATTTGTTATACAAAAAAATATTTGTTAAGTTCGACTCTAGCTCTGTAGAAAACCTCTTCTTTTTGTAGAATCTCCTTTTACATTCTAAGGATTTAAAGGTCTTGATGCTTCCTTAAATGAAAGAAAGCAACAATAAATAATCTCTAGATCTCATCTGAAACAGTAAACAGTTCTTCTACAAAAAATATCTTTAGACAGTTTCATCAAACTCATAAGTGCTCGGTTAATGATATATATAAAAGTTCTTCTTTTTTAGGAGACAAATAAATTATACATTTTATAAGAAATATATGTGTACTACAAAACGTTACATTTGAATAAGTAACGAAACGATTTATAAAATAATGATTTTTATTTTATTTTTCCATTCCTGAATGATTCTACAAAGATCTTCTGATTTAAAAAATCTATCAAAATCAGGGTTGCCAACTCCGAAGATGTCGAATGAGGTACTTGCGGGGTACAATTTTTTTCAAATGAGGTACACTGATGGGGCACATCATTTTTCCAAAATCCAAGGGTATGATGCGAAAAAACAACTGGAGTCAATGGTCTTTTTAGCAAAGGAGAGGCTATATTTAACTTTCCTTATGCGAGACATGTTTCAATGAGGTTGTTGTATTTTCGAATTTGTGCTCAGTTGGTGCTTTGCTTTCTTCTACGATCACGACGTATGAGTGGATCAGGTCGTCGTTGTTCATTAAGTCAAAATTACAGTCAAAAACGATTTTCTAGCCTTTCGCAGATAAATCAAGCCGAATAAACAGGACTGTTCGAAAACAAGAGAAAAAGTTCAAAACTCAAGGGAGAAAACTAGATTTTTTATCCCATTGAATCTTGCTGAATTTCAAAGGAAATTTTTCCGCAATGGATAGTATCTAATTATTATACTTCGAGGCGCCTTCCATAATATTACTGCAGTAAGCATCCATAGCACCAATTTGAGCACGTTTCCAACATTGTTGATCGAAATATTCTTCAAGATGATTTTAGTTTTTTCAATAGAAGCATAATTTTCACATTTATTAATCGAGATTTTATTTTGTTGAGGGTTTTGAAGTTTTCCATGTGAGCACAGCTTTTCTTGATCAAGATATGTTTAACCAGTTAACTTTCAAGTATACTGATCAAGCTAAAATTTTGAAAATACTTTCCAACTTTTTCGACTAACATGTGGTTTTCGAGATGTGGTTTGCTAAATAGATTTTTGTAGACTAAAATCTAGTTTTCTTCCTTGAAAACTCCATCAAGCATTCGATTTGACTTTGCCGTGAAATTGAGAAGTAAGAAAAAAAAAACAGAAAACACAAGTTTGAACGGATGCAACGGTTGCCTACAATCACTAGTTACTATCCAGTCAATATGATTTAAGCTTCATATCCCTATAAAAAATGACACTAGCTAAAAGAAAAAAAATTGATTAACTCTGCTCGAAAATGATTCATTTACAGTGTAAAAGGAAATATCCAAATGGGGTACGAAATGTGTATCCCAGGCCCTGGCGTACTGCTTTCTGTGGGGTACAGTTGGCAACCCTGATCTCAAATCTTCGTAAAACTATGCCAAAATTTATCGGAAATTTTATATTTACATTATGATTACTTCTTATAACCAATTATAATAAAACACAAAATTTTAACTCAAATTTTCAAACTAGAATCTATTTCATTCGATTTGTTGATTATTACTCATAAATTTAAGTTCAAAATAACTAAAGCTATGCACTCATATGTCACTTTAAAGTTCTATGATTTTACAGAGAAAACAAACATTTCAATTTTCTGTTTAACATAAATAATCAAAGTTAAACAAATAATTAATATACAAGAAAAAAACAAAGTAAAAAAAAATGTTTAAAATAAAAATAGAATGAAATCATTCTTAAGGATAATTTATGAAGTATTTAAATTTATGAATTAATCAATTTAGCTATAAATAGTATTGCACCGAGAGAGCTTTTCTTTATTACAATATTTTTCTAAACTTTTTCCGAATGAAATTTTGTTTTCTTTTTACTTTTTTTCTATTGCAAATTGACTCTTCAATCAATTTAATGTATTTGACTCAAAAATAACACTACATAAAATTCTTATGATAATCAAAATGAAATACTCATTTACATGTAAAATGTTTTATGTTTGATTATTTCGTATTAAAGTAAGTATATCTTGTTCGTTTTCAATTTTTCGAGCAAATATATTTCATTATCAAAATAAAGAATAGATTATAATGATACTAATTAGTCAAAAGAAAGTTTTTCAACATGTTTTTCCTCAATATCAAAACAGAAAGACGTCGCCATTGAAGTCATGTTTAAAGGTTTACAGGCTAAGGAACTTTTTGTAATCAATAACCCGTCCTGTAAAAATTTTCTTAACCTGATCCAGCCCTGTCCTGCAGTCAGTTTTTTGCATATTTAAAAGGAAATTGTTTTTTGGAAAAGTTAAGTTGTCCGGTTTAGTACTACTGGCAAAGATTAACTAGAAGTAAATAAGACACAATAAAACTTCTAGATGGAGATCTTGTTTGAAGTGAATAGATATTTATTTAGAACATGAATAGATCTAAAAAAAATACAATATTTTCTCTATAAGAACCTGTGAAATTGATTACCTCTCTTGCACAAACAGTAGGTATCTTAGTAGGATTTCTATTAAATAGATTAATCTCGGATTTTAATTGTCTATTTAAATTATGAATGAGTGATTTTCGTTGTAACATCAGCTAACGTACTACACTATCTTGTTTCGATTCATTGCATCTGTGATCGTTGTACATATAGGCGCTATCGATCAGACAATTTACTATTTGTTTTTGCATATTTTAATAAATATATTCTTCATTCGGAATCAATTTTCAGCGATACGAAGTCGCTTTGTTGAAGAATTAACTAGATTTTTTAGCTCTAATATCAGCTACTAATCACTGATCATCGCATTGTTGTTCTAATTCAAAGACGAATGTCTTCAGCAGAAGCACTGGGATCACATGCTCCATTAAGGAAGAATAGTTCTAGTTGTTTTCTTACCTCTGCAACATAAAAGAGAGGCGAGAAGAAACTATTTTAGTACCTACTAGAATGATAAAAAAAGAGAAGAGGCTATTTAATAACTCGTTATGAGCGCGATATTCTCACACGATCTGGCTTTACAAGAGAACATCACTTCACTTTGATCAAAGACTTTTGAATACGAAAAAGAAAAGAGAAAAATATGGAACATATGGAAGTGATACATGCTGACATAAGACATCCCAAAGACAAAAAAAAACAGAATTACCTTTCATACTGAAAATACCTGTTAGTGATTTGATGCAGCTCAAAATCACTTCTCTTATTTCTTGAAATTTTCTAAACATACTAGAAAAACATTTTTGGCACAGGTTTATAGGTTATGACTTTAATAGTCTGTAATTGACCTTGTAAAAATTTTCTTCACCTGGCCTTGTTCCACCTTGCGACTTGCTTAACTTTAGGTGTTCTG